CAAGAACTCACTCATTAATCCCCCTCCCCCAGGGAGAGAATTAATCCATTCATGAGGGATCTGCCCCCATGACTCAATCAGTTTCCAACAGTGCCACATTGGAGATCAAATTTCCACATGAGTTTTGGAGGGGACAACACATCCAAACTCCATCATACTCCACACATGCATAATCAATAACAAAAAAAACCAAGCAGGAGTTGCTGTACTTATATCAAATAAAATAGACCTTAAACCAAAAACTATAAAAAGAGACAAAAAAGGACATTATACAATGATAAAAGGATCAATGCAGCAAGAAGATATAACAATCATAATTATACCAAGCAGGAGTTGCTGTACTTATATCAAATAAAATAGACCTTAAACCAAAAACTATAAAAAGAGACAAAGAAGGACATTATACAATGATAAAAGGATCAATGCAGCAAGAAGATATAACAATCATAATTATACATACACCCAACATTGGAGCACCCAGATATATGAAGCAAATATTATTGGATCTATAGGAAGAGATAGACCACAATACAATAATAGTTGTGGACTTCAATACCCCTCTCTCAGTATTGGACAGATCATCTAGAGAAAAAAATTAGCAAACAGATGTCAGATTTAAATGGCACTTTAGAGCAAATGGACTTGACAGACATTTGCAGAACATTTCATCCAACAACTGCATAATATACATTCTTCTCATCAGCAAATGGATCATTTTCCATGGTAGACCACATGTTATGCCATGAGTCAAATCTCAACAATTTAAAAAAGATTGAAATCATATTAAGAAGTTTTTGAGATCACAATGGAATAAAACTAGAAATCAATAACATGCAAAACTTTAGAAACTGTATAAACACATGGAAATTAAACAACATGGTCCTGAATGACCAGTGGGTCAAAGATGAAATAAAGCAGGAAATAAAAAAATTCTTTGAAACAAATGAAAATACAAGCACAACATACCAAAACCTATGGGATACTGTGAATACAGTACTAAGAGGAAAGATTATTGCAATAAGTGCTGACATCAAAAAATTGAAAGTTCCCAAATAAACAACCTACCATTACATCTCAAGGAACAAGAAAAGCAAGAACAGTCCCACGCCAAAATTAGTAGACAAAAAGAAATAATAAAGACCAGAGCAGAACTGAATGAATAGAAAACAACAACAACAAAAAAAACACAAAAGATTGATGAAACCGAAAGTTGGTTTTCTTAGAAGATAAACAAAATTAACAAACCGTTAGCTAAACTAACCAAGAAAAGAAGAAAGATGATCCAAATAACAAATATCAGAATGAAAAGGAAACAATCCAACTGATTCCACAGAAATACAAAGAATCATTAAAGAGTATTAAGAACAACTATATGCCAACATAGTTGAAAATACAGAGGAAATGGATAAATTTCTGGACACATATGAACTACCAAGACTGAACCAAGAAGAAATAGAAAACCTGAACAGACAGATAATGAGCAATGAGATTGAATCAGTAATCAATGGTCTCCCAACAAAGAAAACCCAAGGACCCTATGGATTCACTACTGAATTCTACCAAACTTTTAAGAAGATTTAATAACAATTATTTTGAAACTATTCCAAAAAACTGAAGCAGAGGGTATTCTCCCAGCTCATTCTATGAGGCCAGCATCAACCTGATACCCAAACCAGACAAAGATACAGCAAAGAAGAAAACTACAGGTCAATACCCTTGATAAACTAGATGCAAATACTCTCAACAAAGTACTAGCAAACAAAATCCAACACAACATCAAAAAGACTGTACACTATGATCAAGTGGGATTCATTCTAGCAATGCAAGGATAATTCAACATACTCAAATCAATAAGTGTGATACACCGCATCAAGAAAATGAAAGACAAAAACCATATGATCATTTCAATAGACACGGAAAAATCATTTGATAAAATTAAAAATCACTTCAAAATCTCTTGTTTCAACAAATTAGGTATAGAAGGAAAGTATCCCAACACAATAAAAGCCATATAAATGACAAACCCACAGCTAACATCATCCTGAATGGAGAAAAGTTGAAAGCTTTTCCCCTAAGAACAGGAACAAGACAAGGATGCCCACTCTCACCACTCCTATTTAACATAGTATTGGAAGTATTAGCCAGAGCAATCAGCAAGAGAAGGAAATTAAGGGCATCCAGATTGGAAAAGACAAAGTCAAACTGTACTTGTTTGCAGATGACATGATCCTATATATAGAAAAACTGAAAGACTACCAAAAAACTCTTGGAGCTGATAAACGATTTCAGTAAAGTTGCAGACTACAAAATCAACACACAAAAATCACTAGCTTTTCTATACTCCAAGAACAAATTAGTAGAAAGAGAAATCAAGAAAGCAAGCCCATTTACAATAGTCACCCAAAAATAAAATACCTAGGAATCAATTAAACCAGCGAAGTGAAAGATCACTACAATGACAACTACAAATCACTTATTTATAGCCAACTGATCTTTGACCCAGGAGCTAAAAACATACTTTGGGGAAAGGACAACTTCTTCAATAAATGGTGCTGGGAAAACTGGATATCCCTGTGTAGAAGAATGAAACTAGATTCTTGTCTGTTACCATATAGAAAAGTATACTTAAAATGGACTAAAGACTTAAACATAGACCTGAAATTATAAAATTTCTAGAAGAAAATACAGGGGAAATGTTCCAGGACATAGGACAAGGCAAAGATTTTATGAATAAGATTTGAAAAGCACAAGCAACAAAAGCAAAAATACACAAATGGGATTTTATCAAACCTAGAAGCTTCTGCACAGCAAAAACTCAACAGAGTGAAGACACAACCCACAGATTGGGAGAAAATATCTGCAAACTACGCATTCGATAAGGGGCTAATTTCCAGATGTACAAGGAACTCAACAGTAAAAAAAAGCAAATAACCTAATTTAAAAATGGGCAAAGGAGCTCAATGCTCATTTCTCCAAAGAAGATTTACAAACAGCCAACAGGTATATGAAAAAATACTTGACATCACTTATCATCAGGGAAATGCAAATCAAAACCACAATGAGGTATCATCTTACCCCAGTTAGAATGACTGTTATCAAAAAGACAGAAAACAACAAGTGCTGGTGAGGATGCAAAGAAAGGACAACACTTATACGTTGTTGGTGGACTGTAAATTAGTGCAGCGATTTTGGAAAACAGTATGGAGTTCTCAGACAACTACAGATAGAGCTACCATATGACCCAGGAATTCCACTTCTGGGTGTATACACAAAGGAAAGGAAAGCATCATTTTGAAGGGATACCTGTGCTTCCATGTTCATCACAGCTCTATTCACAGCTGTCAAGATATGAAACCAACCTGAATGTCCATCTGCAGATGACCGGATAAAGAAAATGTGGTACATATACACGGTGGAATACTACTCAGCCATAAAAGGAATGAAATTCTACCACTGGCAGCAACACAGATGAGCTTGGAGAAACTTATGTTAAGTGAAATAAGCCAGGCACAGTAAGAGAAATATCGCATGCCCCTACTCATATGTGGGAGCTAAAATAAAGAACAAAACAAGACAAAACAACGAACTAATAATAGCAATAATAATAGCAAGTTGAACTGTTGAGAGAGAACTGCGGTTACTAGAGGCGCAAAAGGGGAGGCTGGTGGGGAGATGGAGAGAGGCTGGTTAATGGAAACGAACTAATAATAGCAATAATAATAGCAAGTTGAACTGTTGAGAGAGAACTGTGGTTACTAGAGGCGCAAAAGGGGAGGCTGGTGGGGAGATGGAGAGAGGCTGGTTAATGGAAATAAAATTATAGGTAGATAGGAAAAATAAGTCCTGTTATTGTACAGTCAACCCAGGAATCTGTAATTAACAATGACTTACTGCATGTTACCAAACGACTAGAAAAGAGGTGATCAAATGTGCACATCACAAAGGAATGTTTAAGTTTTGCAACGATGAGTGTCCTGGTAACACTGAATAGATCATCACACATTGTATGCATGTATTGAAATATAACTCAGTACCCCGTAAATATGTACAATCAATATGCTTCAATAAAAAATTTTTGAAAATTGTAATAAGAAAAGGAAAAAATGCTTTAAAAAGAGTACATTAATTTCATATCTGCATCCAGTCTTCTCCAGCAGATTTTTTGCAGTTCTCATTTACTAAATAAAGCAATGCTAAAGAGGATTTCATACTATTTATTGCCCAATGTTAAAAAAATCTGACTTCTAAATTAATTATTTAAAAAATGTTTTTCCTGAGGAATTGGCATATTTCTTCCCCTTAAGAATAAGAATTTAGTAAGTCTGCATGTGTTTTTTTTCCCATCACTTAGTTTCTATGTAATAGCTTATCTTTATTATAATTTGAGTAAATATACTAAGCACATACTAAGAACATAGAATGAATAACAAGCCTCATTTTGACTAATGAATATCTGATTCAAATTATTTCCTATTTTTAAAAAGTTGAAGGAAGAAATGTGATTAACCTGTATATTCATATAAAACGATAAAAGTTGTCCAACTTTAAAAAAATGGCTTCAATTGCTTACTTTTTATTTTTGCCTCTTTTCTTGACTTTTAAAGGGATATTTGTGAAAATTATAGATTAAACCATGTAAAACCACCAATATTGCACTGTCTTTGGTCTACAAAAGGGTCATTCATTATGTGTTGTTCAAATTAACAATATTTTGTGGTGAAAAAATATTTTTCTGAAATGTACAATTTCTTTTAGTTTCATTTCAATTTTTCTTTTGTTTAGTTGGGTAAATATTATATATTTAGTTATTATACAGAGCATAGATCTATTTTAATAAAATCATGACCGTCTTTCAATCTATTCATCTAACTGTACATTCTTATATGTGTATTTATGATATAAACAGAGATATTTAAAATGATGCTCATTAAATGTTAATTATGTTTGTTTACAATTTTTTTTACGATTATTAGATTTTTTGTAATTAAAGAAAATCTTACTTTACGTAAAACTTTGCTAGCTACAGAAATTTCCATTATATAACTCTCAGTATTATCAAAAGAGTCTTCAGCTTTAACTTCCAACAAAGTTGGGTTTCCAACTATTACTTTTAGTAGTGGTATTTCAAGTGTTCGGGCACCTATGGAAACAAGGTCAACAGTTAAAATTACATAATGAAAATGATATAAATTTAATTTAATAATGACTGGCTAATCAGGATTTTAGAACATCTACATATTCTATTATTGAGGCTGCATAATGGCTGCAAATACAGTTAGCAATTTATATAGAGTCAATTTTAATAGTTCTCAGAAAATTTTTTTTTTTCCTTTTTGTCTTTTTTACTGACCAGTAACGGGATCGCAACCCTCGGTGTCGCGCCCGTATGGGGGACTGGCAACGGGACCGCAACCCTCGGTGTTGCGCCCGCACCGCGCTCAGCCAGTGAGTGGGAACCGGTCTCCAAACGGGATCCAAACCCTTGGCGGGAGCGCCGCCACGCTCCCAAGCGGCGCACTCTCCAGTGCACCACTGGGCCGGCCCAGAAAAATTTAACTTTACAAGTATTTTCTTCTATTTTTTCAAAGAAATATTGCTCCCTTAATTAGCCAGCCAGGGTCTCCAATGCCTGTCAAGACATGCATAACTTTGGATACTACTGGTTAAACTGAGTTGGTTAACTTAGTAGAAAAACTCAGTTTAAAGGGCTACCAAGCGGGCCGACCCAGTGGCGCACTGGATGGTGCGCCGCTTGGGAAGTGCGGCGGCGCTCCCGCCCGAGGGTTCGGATCCCACATACAGACCGGTTCCCTCTCACTGGCTGGGTGAGGCGCGGGAGCAACGCCGAGGGTTGCAGTCCCGTTGCCGGACAAAAAAATAAAATAAAATAAAATAAAATAAAATAAAATAAAGAGCTACCAATCAATAGTTGCCAAGAGAAAACTTTTAGACATTTCAAACATAATATGTCATCAAGCCAATTTCTGCCTACAGGCCACCTGTTTGTAACCTTGCCATACTGAGCACTTAAATGGAAAAAGAGATTTGAAATATCGTGTAGTCTAACTGCCATCCTTATTCATCAATAAACCAGAGTTGAGAGGTAATAAATTATTTGACTGTGGTCTCATCTGCAGCTGTTTCCCTTAAGCCAAAGCGATCTGGCCAGTGCTTCCTAACCTTTAACTGGGGATTTTGTTAAAATGCTGATGGAGCAAGTCTGGAGTGGGGCCTGAGATTCTGCATTTCTAACGAGTATCCTGGTGATGCTAATGTGGGTCCAGGAGCACATCACAAAGGAATGTTTAAGTTTTGCAACGATGAGTGTCCTGGCAACACTGAATAGATCATCACACATTTTATGCATGTATTGAAATTGAGTAGCATGAACTAGCCTTTTCTTCAGAAAGAGGCAACTGACTTGATTAGCTGGTTTTTAATTGTTTTCATCCAACTGAATGAGTATAACTGATTGGGCCCTCTTACAACTAGTTTGGTTTATTTTAAAGGTAAAATAATTAGAATGTTCTGGTACTGGTGCCAGAATATAGAGAGATTACAATGGAACAGATTAAAAAACCCATAAGTGGTCAAAATAATAGGTAAATTTTATTCTAAGGTACAGTTATAAAAGTATTTTGAAATCACACATTTCACACATTGGAAAGGTCACATTCAATAGTGTTGGAACCAGCTAAATCTATAGTACATCAAAACAAAATTTAGATAGCATAAAGCATTAAATTGAAAGTTAAAACTATAAAATTAAAACTCTAAAATTATCTGAAGGAAATATAGACAATTAGTAATATAATCAGTGAGAAAGGATTGCTAGGGGTTTCAAACCAGAAGGAAGTTTTTCAGGATATTTAGTCCACAATATTGATGGAAATGAATGTTCTCAATTTTTTCCCAAAGCCTATAGTTTTCATTTACATAAGTTGTACTTGGGTCTGTTTTTCAAATAAGCCTTTCTAACAAATAGCATTTTGTTCTTTCATTATGGTTCTTGTATCATCTTTTATCTCTAGGAGTTTTTGTATACTTATTTCATAGTGTCTTTTTGATTTTTCTATTATCTCAAGTTCTTGAAGTTTAATTTCTTCTCTTAAAACTCTTAGTTTTTTAAATTCTTTTCCTCAATTCATGTTCAATGGGGATTGCTTTTTCCATGGAAGCCCATGTCACCTGGGTTATAAAAGTATTCCTATGCAGGGGTTTGTGCTTGCTTATGCTGGAGCCCACCTGGTATTATCTCTCAGCCTGGGATTCCTTCTTCTTGTGGGTAGTCTGGATGTGACACGGTCTCGGAGGGTTTTTTTTAAATAGGAGATTGTTTTTGCCCACTTCGAGCCCTGCGAAGATGGTGATGCCCCATCGCTGCATCTTTGGGTTGGTGGGTAGAGTTTTCCTAATCCCCTCTTCATGATCTGATGGTCTCAGCTTTATTGAATGGTCTCAGTTCCAATTTCCAACCACAAAGTAAGAAGGCTCAAAGCCAAACTTTCTGTCAATACTTGGGCATTAAAACCCATCCTGCTGCCTATATGATCTGAATCTGAGCCTCACATCCTTCAGGGAGACATACATTAGCTAATTTCTCTGGCTTTGACTTTGAGCTTCCTCTTCATTTCTGGTGACATGATTTTCTTCTCTTTCCCTCCTTCCCTCTTCTTATCCTTCTCTTCCTTTCACCTTTTCTTCCTCTCTTTCTAGCTCAGTTATTTACTAATAATTTTTGTTTTATTTTTCCAGTATGCCATTTCTCCAGCATCTTTACTAAGTATTACTTTAATTCATATGGTTTTGGGAATAAATAAATACCTGGAAAATGGGGAAAAGTATAGTCCTATTTAAAAGCAATTTTTTGAATTAAAATAAATACCCCAAATAAATATGACAATACCAAAGTAATTAATAAGTTTTTGTTTCAGAGGACAGCAAAAATCTAAACTAAAATCCTGTGCAAACTTGGGCTGGTAACAACATCATTTTCCTCATTTGTAAAATGAGAATTATAATCTAGATTTTTAGGGTTGTTATCAACATTAAATAAAATAATGTATAAAAATAATTTAATACAGAGCCTAGCACATAGTAAGTGCTCTATTATTGGAAGCTAATACTGTTATTAGTAGAATGCCAACAATTATGGGAACTAGAGATAAAATAAACATCAAAGGGTATATGAGGGTACTTCAAAAAGTTCTTGGAAAAATAGGATTAAAAGATAATACAAATCTTTTTATAAACTTTTTGAAGTACCCTTGTATTTCACATTCAAGAAAAGAAATAACATCTCCTTTTGATATTTTCCAATAAACACAAACTTACCTTTTGGCCAAGGTAGGATCTCAACTTTGAAAACATGAGAGTGTCCCAGATCAATGTATTTCACAGTGTTGAGGGATAGTGAATTAAGATGTTGAAACTGATAATTACATGGTTGTGAGTATATATTCCACATTCGTCCATTCCTTTGCCCAAAATTGTATAGGAACCAGGAGTCCTTTAGAAAGGTCATATTGTTGGGTGCTCTTGCAGGCATGGTAGCAATAGCTAAAGCATTGCTACCATCTAAAATGGTTGTGATCAGGAAGCTGCTGAAACCAGGAATCACCACAGTCTTCTCTATATCTGTGTCTTGAAATGAGGCACTAGCATCTAGAGATAAAACAGAAAAGATTCAGTGTAAATTAAAAGAACCAGCGTTCACCTATGCATACTGATGGACATAACTAACAAGTGCAATATCTGAGTTTTTAAACTATGATCTTAACCAGAGAATACATTTGCCAGATTTCAGATTATAATTCAAATTATTTTATAGAAAGTTTATCATGAGGGCCGGCCCGGTGGCACACTGGAGAGTGCACTGCTTGGAAGCGCGGTGGCGCTCCCGCCGAGGGTTCGGATCCCATGTGGAGACTGGTTCCTGCTCACTGTACAATGAGTTGTCACCTCATACCTGTTAAGGTGGCTATTATAAAAAATATATATATATAGGGCCAGCCCGGTGGCGCACTGGAGAGTGCGCCACTTGGGAGCGAGGCGGCGCTCCCGCCAAGGGTTCGGATCCCATGTGGAGACTGGTTCCTGCTCACTGGCTGAGTGTGGTGCAGGCGCAACACTGAAGGTTGCAATCCCATTACCGGTCAGTAAAAAAAGACAAAAAGGAAAAAAAAAAAAAAAATATATATATATATATATATATATGTTAAAAAAAAAAGCAGAAAATAACAAGTGTTAATGAGTTTGGAAAAATTGTAACCCTTTATGCTATTGATGGGAATGTGGAATGGTGCAGCAGCTATGGAAAACAGTACAGAGGTTCCTTAAAAAATTAAAAATAGAACTACCATATGATCCAGGATTTCCACTTCTGAGAAACCAGAATTGAAATCAGGACCTGGAGGAGTTATCATCTGCACTCACATGCTCATTTCAACAACAATAGCCAAGATATAGAAACAATACAAGTGTCCATCAACAGGTGGATGGATAAAGGAAAGGTGGTATATACATATGGTAGAATACTATTTAGTCCTAAAAGAGAACATCCTGTCATCTGCAACAACATAGATGAACCTAGAGGACAATATGCGAAGTGACATAAGCCAGTCACAGAAGGACAAACACGACCTGATTCTGACTACACGAGGTATCTACAATAATCAAATTCACAGAAGAAGAAAACATAATGGTAGTTGTCAGGGACTGTGGGCTGGAGGAAATGGAGAGTCATTGTTCAATGGGTATAAAGTTTTAGTTATGCAAGATTAATATGTTCTCTGGGCCGGCCCGGTGGCGCACTGGATAGTGCGCCGCTTGGGAAGCACGGCGGCGCTCCCGCCCGAGGGTTCGGATCCCACATACAGACCGGTTCCCGCTCACTGGCTGAGCGAGGCGCGGGAGCAGCGCCGAGGGTTGCGATCCCGTTGCCGGTCCCCGGTCCGGTACGGGGGCAACACTGAGGGTTGCGATCCGTTGCCGGACACGGAAAAAGACAAAAGACAAAAAAAAAAAAAAAGATTAATATGTTCTGGAGATCTGTACAACATAGTTCCTGCTATGGTCTGAATGGTTGTCCCCTTTAAAGCTCATGTGGAAGCTAATCCCCAATATGATACTTGTAAGGTGGGACCTTTAAGAAGTGATTGGACCATAATGGCTATGAGCTCATGAATGGATTAATCCACTCATAAATTAATGAGTTAATGAATGAATGGGTTATTGTGGGGGTGGCACTAGGGGCTCTATAAGGAAAGGAAGAAGCATGTTAGCACACTTCTGCTCAGCCTCTTGCCATGTGATACCCTGAGTCACCCTGGGACTGTAGAGAGTCTCCACCAGCAAGAAGGCCCTCACCAGGTATGCCCTCTGGACCTTGGATTTCCCAGCCTCAGAAACTGCAAGAAATAAAATTTTTTTCTTTATTAATTAACCAGTTTCAGATATTCTGTTATAAATGACAGAAAACGAACTAATACAGTGCCTATAGTTAATGATATGGTATTGTGCACTTCAAAATTTGTTAAGAAGGTGTATCTCATGTCAAGTGTTCTTAACACACACACACACATACACACACACACACACACACACACACACACACACAAGAGACTCAGGAAACTGGGAAGTGTCGAATATGTCTATTCTCTTGATTGTGGTGATGGTATCGTATGTACATGCGTATGTCCAAACTCATCAATTGTTCATGTTAAATATGTGCAGTTCTTTGTATATAAAATTAAATCTTAATAAAGCTGTTAAAACAAAACAAAATATAATGGGCAGTGCTTGTTTGGATTCTAATTTGAACAAATAAACTATAAAGAAAAAAACTTTCTTAGACAATTGAATACTTTGATTTTGGACTGGGTTTTACAGAGTACCATATCCTTCATTTGTTAGACAGAATAATGGCTTTGTGGTTATGCAAAATAATGCTCATATATTTTAGAAATGTATGTTGATTTATGTAGGAGTGAATTGCTTTAAAATAAGAAAAAAGGAAAATATAAGTGTTGAATTTGGGTAGTGGATAAATAGGAGTTCATTCTATTTTTCTATCTTTATGTAAAAAGAAGTGAAATAATTTTAAGTAAAAAAAAATTCCAAGTATCTATGGTAGCTGAGGATGAGGATGCTAATATTTGTATCTGCCAATCTATTCAAGTTTTCCTATAGATCTCACTCATTCTGGTCTTCATCCTCTAATTCTACTATAAATGAGTGGGTCATAGTGAAAAGTTGAGATTCAGTGTTGTACACCAGCTATAGCATTAAAAAGAAATGCCACCTTGCATGTAATTAGTCCAAATCTTCACAAAGCACAACGATACTTAATTCTAAGTTGAAGATTTAATGTCTCATCACAAGCCAATTGAATCTCCTGGTACTATAAACAAATGCATTCCTGGGCTGTAGTTATGTCCTTATTGTTTGCATAAATTAGAAGTATTAGATCTAGTTTGGGGGGAGGTGGTTGTTCAGGTAAAGCTACAATCTAGCTGAGAAATAATTTAAACTAGTTGATAAATGAATTACTTTAGATAGTAATAGTTCCAATCTGACCCCTGATTCTAAGAGGGCCTTGAAAAAGTAGTTGATTTTAGCCATTTCTGAATTTAATCAACTAAATGAAGATTGATATATCTTACACATGGATGTAAGTATACAATAAAAATGGCATTTCAAAACAAAGAAAAGATGAATTATTTAATAAACAGATGGAATAATGGTCAGCCATTTGAAAAGCAAATATAACTTGATTTTTTTCTTCCTCATTTCACAAAAATAAACTACAGAAGAATCAAAGCTTTAAACATAACAACATAAAATAATTATTTATAGTCTTGGAAAAGATAAGACTTTTTGAGGCCAAACACAAAACCTAATAAATCATGAAGAAAAGGATATATAAATTTGTCTATATAAAATTTTTAAATTCTGCGGAGGGAAAAAGAACATAAAGACAGACATAAATTAAAGGCTGTGGAAGAATATTTGCAGAACATATGAGAAACTAAAGGTTATTTTCTAAATATATAAAGAGCACTTACAAACTAAGTAATAAAAACAAACCACCTGACACAGAAGGAAGGAGCATGCCTGGGGACACAGGCAGGTGCCATCGGCTCCCTCCTCCACCTGACCAAAGGTAGGAACATGCTACAAACACTGCTTCTGCAGGGGTGGTTCACCACAGCCACTGCCATAGTCACTGCCACTGCAAAGACAGCTCGCAGACACAGTAACAGCTAAAGCCACCCCACCGTGCAGATGGCCCACCTCCCACTCACTGCATTGACACAAGGAGAGTCACCAGGGGAGCCTGGAAAAAAGGAGGAAGTATTTCTCCTTGAGTGAGCCCACTACAGTGTAATAGAAGAAGTAACTGTTCTACCAGCTGACCAGACAACAACACAGAGATACTAGAAGTATAAAAAACAAGAAATATGACACCACCAAAGAAATACCATAATTTGCAAGTACCAGACCCAATACAGCAGGAAACCCTTGACATTACTGTAAAGGAATTCTGAGCAACAATCTATAGGAAACTCAATGAGCTATGAGAAGACTCAGTCAGACAATATAGTGAAATGAGAAAAAATACCCAAGATATGAAAAAGGAAATTTACAAAGAGATTAATACCTTAAAAAAAGAATGCAGCAAAACTCCTGGAACTGAAGGATTCAGTCAATGAAATAAAAAACACAACTGAAAGCTAAAGCAATAGGATAGAGCAGGCAAAAGAAAGAATTTCAGATCTTGAAGATGGTGTTTTTGAAATAACCTAGGCATACAAAAAAAGGAAAAAGAATTTTAAAAATGAAGAAGGTCTAAGAGAGTAAGCAGATAACTTTAAGTGCATAAATATTAGAATCATTGGTGTTTCAGAAGGGGATGAGAAAAGAAAAGGTATTGAAAACCTATTCAATTAAATAGTAATGGAAAACTTCTGAGGTATAGAGAGACACATAGACCTTCTAATCCAAGAGGCTCAAAGATCCCCAAACAAATTCAATCTAAAATATCCTCCCCGAGACATGTTACAGTCAAACTGGCTCAAAGAAAAAGAGAGAATCCTAAAAACAGCAAGAGAAAAAAATCAACTCATCTATAAGGGAGCCACCATCAAACTTATAGCAGACTTCTGAACAGAAACTCTATAGGACAGAAGAAAATGGGATGACATATTCAAAATCATTAAAGAAAAAGAAAACCTGCCAGCTAAGAGTACTATAACCAACAAGGCTATCCTTCAGAAATGAGGGAGAAATAGTGTATTTCTCAGACAAACAAAAGCTGGGACTTCACCACCTCAATTCCAACCCTGCAAGAAGTCCTCAAGGGACTCCTGCATCTGGAATCCAAAAAGTAATAATCACTACCACAAATACACAAGAAAAAACAAAACCCACTAGTAGAACAAAAATATAAATGAGAAAGGGAAGGAAACTAAATCTTACCACCTCAAAAAACCAACAAACATTGAAGACAAACAATAAAAGGGGAAGAAAGGAACAAAAGACATATAAAACTTCCAACAAAAAATTGATAAAATGCCAATAATAAGAAAATACTTTTCAATAACAACCCTAAATGTAAATGGATTAAACTCTCCACTCAAAAGACACAGACTGACTGGTTGGAT